GAGCTAGTTCGCAACAGCCAAGACTACGTAGAGAAACCCCGGCTCCAAAAGCCAACAAAAAAACAAAACAACTAAAGCGAGTCCAAATAGTCCTCATGGGACTGCAGAGATGGCTCTGCGGTGACAAGCACCAGCTGCTCTTCCAGAACCCACAAGGTGGTTCACAACCTTCTGTAACTCCAGTTCCACGACGTCAAACGCCCTCCTCAGGCCTTCAAGTGCGCAGACATATGGAGGCAAAACACCTGAAACACATAAAAAAATAAATAATCCAATGACTCTTTCAAACAAACAAAAAAAAAGTTTTGGCAGTGTATCCAATATGGTTAGTTGCCTCCAGAAGAAGATATGGGTTATTAAGTGAAAGCCTCAATGCCAGGTTTAGGATACCATCCTCAGTACATTACTGATCAGGGAGGCCCCAGCCCCCCCTAAAAACAACCTAGGCTATTGCAATTATTTTTCAAGACACGGAGAAACCAAGCCGGAACTAATCTGAAAACTTTCTCCCTGCAGGCCAGCTTTCATAGTATCAGGAGGTGGTGTGCAAATCACTGGGGGAGAAAAGTAATCAGACTTACCAGGCAGGTTGTGCCTGCCCACTGGTGCAGCAGTGGGATGCGTTATGGGGTTCACCAACCACTTTCTGATTAGATTTGATTCTACCTTAGGGGAGGGAATTCATGCCTCGTACTGTAAACCTTGTCAAAACAAAAACATGCCTGGGGAGGTTATAGGCCCTAGGGGTAAACCTACTACTATTGTTTTGCTAAGTGGACATGTTGTCAAACTGCCTTTTAAATGTTTACATTAGGGCTGGAGAGATGGCTCAGAGGTTAAGAGCACTGGCTGCTCTTCCAGAGGTCCTGAGTTCAATTCCCAGCAACCACATGGTGGCTCACAACCATCCGTTATGAGATCTGGTGCCCTCATCTGGTGTGCAGATATACATGGAAACAGAATGTTGTATACATAATAAGTAAATAAAAGCTTTAAAAAAATAAATGTTTACATTAATGGAGTAATGCCATTCTCAACCCCGGTCAGAATGACTTCTTTATGCAGTGGATAGCAGTTAATACCGAGACTCATAAGTGGCCAAAGTACTGGAACTCTGTGAATGTTGAGTGCTTACCTCTAAATGGGACATCTATGTCAAACCCTCCCCTAAGGTACGGGAACCATCATGGTGCCGAGAATGGGAAGCCGTAAGAACTGGGGACTGGGAACGTGTGTTGTGAGACGCTGTCCTGTGGACATGACTCACAGCAACTATAGTTACCTGCATGAAATCAAACCAACTAATATTACAGCATAGAGGGGCCATGAGGCCTCACCCCTAGCTGAGGAGCTACTGGCAACTGGTAGCTGTTGGGGGAAGAGGAGTTATTTTTCTCTCTAGGTGGACCAACTGGTAGGTCACTCATGCTTCGGAGCATAAAGGTAGCACTGACTGAACTCAGGGGCTACACAAAAAAACGGACATGAATGTGGGAGGGGCTGTTGGGGGAAGAGGGAGGAGAGAATTGGGAATATATATATATATATATATATATATATATATATATGTATTATGTATATGCATATATAAAGTTGCCTATGGGTAAATTTGTAAATATTCTTTAAAAATATCCAGATTCCTTTGAAAACATGAAATCCTATGAGAAAACCTACTATCCTGGATTAAAGCGGGACAAAGAGTAAAGGCCATATTTAGGAAATGTTCGAGGGTCAGCCCCTCACTTACAGCCCTTGCATGAAGTTTCCACCAGTGGACAGCCGTGTAGGGGCCACCTCTGTGAGAATGCTGGAGTGACCAGGGTTATATACTTAGTGGACAAACTGAAAACAAAAGGCAAATTTCTGAGAAGAAAGCTTCCTGAGTAGCCCCAATACCCAGAGCTCTGCCAAATACATATTAGGTATCCCAAGTTGACTGATACTGCTTAATTCTTTTTGTTGCTCTTGTTCATATGTTTGTTTTGATTTTTCAAGATGGGGTTTCTCTTCATAGCCCTGGTTGTCCTTGAACTCTGGAACTCAGTCTGTAGACCAGACTGTCATTCTTTTTAGTTGCTGTTTTTCTGAAACAGGGTTTCTCTGTGTAGTCTTGTGCTATCCTGGAACTCACTCTGTAGACCAGGCTGGCCTCGAACTCATGGAGAGCTGCCTGCCTCTGCCTCCCCAGTGCTTGGATTAAAGTCTCGAGCCACTATCGCCAGGCTGTTTTGTTTGTTTTTTAAAGGAACATCAAACATTAATGTTGGGAAATGTTTTATCAAATTCAAAAACTTGCGAGGAGTGGCGGTGTATGCCTTTAGTCCCATATTGGGAAACAGAGGTAGGTGGATGTCTGTGAGTTCAAGGCCAACCTGGGTCGACTTAGTAAATTCAAGGCCAACCAAGGTTACATGGTAAAACTCTGTCCCTAAATAAATAAATAAATGCAGAAAGAGTGTAAGTTCCTGTGTGCACAGCCATAGTGATAAGCTCTGAGTGATTCAAGCTGCAACATAAGAATGTGAACTGACTACACCACCTCTGCCCTTGGCAACATCTGGAATAGATGATTGCGTTATGATAAAGACTCAAGACTCATTTCAAGAGGCTTTTGGTCCCTTTTATGGAATTGTTTTTGAAAGGGGATAAACTAAACTAAAAGGCTTCACTTCTAAGAATGAAAGGACCAGACCCTCACTCAGCCCCTGCTTTAGCAGCCATGACAGGCTATAGAAAAGTAGTCCTCTGACACAAAGAACTCCCCAGCCTCCTAAGTACTTGGTTCCTGGGAACTGTTTGGCCACAAAAGAAACTCCAGGCCAGACCAAAACCTCCCCTATAGTCTCCAGGATACAGTTCTGAAAACTATAGGTATCTATGAACAACAGGCCACCTGCAAATAACAAGACAGAGCCATAGAAACCACAGAATGTCCCCTCTCAGCACTGACCAATGAGAATACCTGGGACACAGGTATTTCATGCCAAAATACGACTTTGAGAAATTTTCCTGATTGTTCCTAAATGTCAACCAATCAGAAACCAACCTGCACCTACTGATGTAATCCTGTAACTTTTGTCTTTAAAACCTAGCAGTAGACAGGGAACTTCACCCCCTCTGGAGGCTGCTGCATCAGCTAGCTAGACGGGGTCCCTCCCTTGGTAGGATAAACAATTAATACACCTTGTGCATTTGCATCGGTGGTCTGTCTCCCTGGTCTCTTTGGGGATCCTTGTGACTCAGGCACAACACTACGATCAGACTTAAACTTTGTTTCCAGATAACAATTTCTTTTATAAGGTGGGATTAGATAGTCTAATGACCCCTATCTTTGAAATGCTTAGATGGAAGGAGTTGAAGCCCAGGGGAGTTTCCTTGAAGGAGTTGGGGATTATTAATTAACCAGGATCCATGACTA